GAAGGGCTCGGGGACAGTTCGGCCGGCTTGTCTGCCGGAGGACAGCTCCGGAAATGAGTCAGTGCGCTGGAAAAGTTTTTCCTTATCCGCCGGGATGCGCGGCTGGCGCGGCCGCTGTCGCCCCACTTCACCACCCCTGTCAGCCACCCGGTTCTGCCCGGCCCGAGGACTGACGTCCCCACCGGAGTTTTTCTCCTCGCCGCCAGAGAGAAGCTCTCCGCTAGCGCCTCATAATCCCATTCCAATCCGTCGAGCTGGCGCGAGCTGGCGGGTGCGCCCATCTTGCTCACCTGGCTACCCATGACGGCCCACCACGCTCCTCTGAATGGAAGGCGAGAGGTCAGGCCACCTCTCCTAAGCACGGTAAAAACAATTTCTCATTTTTTTTGAGGGGGCACGGCCCACTCACCCAGACGTTTTTCACCCAACACCCGACTAACCCAAAGACCGTTCACCCAGGGTCTTTTCACCCACTATTATTCGACCAAGGTCCGTTCACCCTTGATTTCATCTCACCCATTCCTGAACAATTCACCCAAAAATAAATAAAACCCGGCAGATCTTGCTACCTCCATTTCACAAACAATCTAAAATCGACGTCCGTGAAACTAGCACAGTGTTTGCAAACGATCTTTTAGCGTTATGGATCAAAATATCTAAAAACAGATTATTTTAGCGAGTCAGGAAGCAGAAAACATAGAATCAGGAAGTGCTTCAAGCAGAACTCGAAAACAGCTTGTAAATCACATTTTATCACTTTTGTGACATACCCTTGAGCTCAAGTACTGAATAATTTTTTTTCTGCAGGCCAAACAGTTATTAAAGATTGAGAGTTACTGTGTGCTACGTGTTTTCAGTTACATTTTTCGGTCTTTGTGATTCGTTGTGTTCTTCCCAACTCGCTAGAATGCTCTATTATTGCCCAGTTGCTTCTGCGTTTGCCTTGTGGCCTTGTGAAAATGTTGCTTTGTTTATGAAAACAAAAATAAAACCTGGGTGAAGAGCTCCCTGGTTCAATCATACACATGGATGAATAAACCGGGGGTGAAATACTTGTGGGTGAATTATGTCTGGGCCAAAGTTACGTTGGGTCAATCGCTCCTGGGTGAGTGGGCCTAGATCCTTTTTGAGGAAAAGGAAAAAATTGAGGACCTTCCATATTTGAGGAAAACTCCTCTGATCTCGCCTGAGATTTTGAGGGACCTCCTAAAAAAGAGTGACATTGGTGAAAACAGGCGGCAGGTCTGGCAAAAATAAATTAAATTTTATTCTAGCGAGTATTCTACTGTTAATTTTGCCCTTTTGGTGGTCAAAATTCAAAAGGGCAGAATTGGGAGAAGGTTTTAATTACTGGGCATAACTTAATACTGGGTGAAACCTCAGGTACATATTGGGCTTCGTCGATATTAAGTCAAATCGAACCAAACCCAGCAGCACTCCAATCCAAATCACAGATGTACACATAATTCGGTTCCAAATCCAATCCGAATGGTCCCAAGCAGGTCCAAACCTAGTCCAAACACTAAAACAAGAGAGACGTACCATGTCCAGCGGGCAAAAAAAGCCAGGTTTCAGAAATTTCATCGTGGCAAAATGGGGCAAAATTATTTTTATATTTTTGCCCTCGAGGACGCAATTCCGAAGAGGGTTTAATGAATTTTTTCTCCTGGGCAAAATTTTTCACTGGGCAAAATATTTTGCTCAGCTGGGGGCCTTGACACACACGGTTACAGAGTTAGACAACCGCGTTACAGGCAGGGGAGAGCGTGTTGACATGCCAAGCTCGCTGCGTGGACGATATTCGCTGACGCTAGTAAACAAGTCTGTAGGTAGCCTCCGTGGGAAGGCCAGGGCTGGGGTGTGCTACACTAACTGGATTTGTATCTTTTGTTAGTACAAATTTAAGCAATCAAATTTTTCACTCAATTCTGCGTTGATTTGAACATTGTCGTGCATTTATTTACAGAACCATGCATTTTTGCGCACAATTTGTCCGAAACGTAAAGTACGTTTAACTTACCACGAACGTTTGCACAAAAATATACGATTTAGCGCCTAGGTCTGCCTGCCTGCCTGCCTCACCTGAGCGAGTCGGACATCCAGACGGGCTGAAACCGCTTCTGAACATCGTCTAGTCATTCCGGCCAGACGGGTCCCGGGCCTGGGCGGGGGCCCATGGCACTTCAGGCGCCCGAGCCAGCCGCGCGTAAATGAGTAATCAGTAGTCACTGATTGCAAGGTGAATCAGGACGAACTCACATGAATACACACGCCAGTCTTCCCCGGACGTTGCCCCGGTGACATGCGCTCATGCAGTACAAGTGTGTGACATTCGAACACTTAGAAGTGCGTGCCAAAATGTAACAAACAAAAATACAGTACTCCTGTTATCGTCGTAGCTTACAAAGAGACACTGGTAAAACAAGTGTTTAATTTTGCACGTCAATTGACGTTTAAGTTTAAGTGTGCATTTTCTCGACACTTTGTGGTGGCTAACTACGTTATACGTATCAATTGGTGTTTAAACTTTCGACACTTCCGAAACGTATAGCAGCTGCACACCGTATGGTTCCCTATTGACAGCATAGAACTGTGTGTGTGTCCAAGTGTGCAGAATTTAAACGTTTACATAACGTCTAAAATTTGCACACCACGCAAGTGTGCAACTTGAGTTAAACACCATGTAAAATGCAAAATCACAACTTGCACACGTTTGGTGTGCAACTATTAAACACTTGTTTTACCAGTGGACTCCTTATTTGTAATTCAAAGCAATGCTTTGTAGACTATTTTTCACAGTGCACTCTTTTGTGCGCTTAGGCATGCGCACTTTTGCATGTGACTCCTTGGCACGCGCTGTGAAGTGTTCTCGTGTCACACGCTTCTGTTTGTAGAGCGCGTCGTGTCGCACGCGTGCTTTTGTTGCCCCTGGGCGCGTGCACCGCTTCGTGTGGGCCGTGCCGGACGTACCAGAGGGCAGCGGTTTGATAACCATACGGAGAAAAAGTAGCTTTTCCTTCACGTGATAACGGAGGCCTGGGTGGCTCGATTTTCCTGCCTTTCAACAACACAATTCTCTCCGAGAGTATGATGGCTCGATTTTCCTGCCTTTCAACAACACACTGTGAAAAATATTTAAGTTGTGTAGACATCACTACGTATTGGCTTAAAATTTTTCGACGACCATCGTAAGCTTACGATAACGATCGATCGCTAGTTAACAACATCGTCTTCCTAAACGGTCTGCTGGGCAACTTGGAAAACATAAAAAGCTGCTTGAAATACGAGCAAACTGTACTTGTTTTCAAGCTGCAAAATGGACACTCTCGATTTTACTTAAACTGAAAACTTGTACCCCCGGCTTGAAAACCAAGCTCGCGTTTTAGCCGTGGATAAAGGATATTTTTCGCAGTACTGGGATGGATGGATTCACATGCACCGTTCTTATATTTTGGTGAGGGCCGTTTCTAAAAAGCCGGATGAGCAATCAGGAGAACTAATCGTACTTGTTTATTGTAGTAAATCGGCCTGGTGTCAGTGAGGGTAATATTATTTAATTTAGTAGACGGTGATAACCGGTTATAACTTGGCCTAATGTTCTAAATACGAGTAAATCGTTTAATTTTGGGAGCCGATCTTGTGAGTTTAGCTGAAGTCAGGAAATCTTGTGACACACGGCGTGATGTCTGCAATGAGGGCGACGGGTCTCATGCTGACGGGCGCTCCTCACAGCGCGCCGGTGTCTTCGACAATCGCGAGGGGCGGTTAATTTAGAATCCCTTGACGCGCGGCCAGGAATGCGCGGTGCGGGCCGCCCATCGAGCTGCAGCACATTGGGCTGCCCTGCCCATTGGGCTGCCCTGCCCATTGGGCTGCCCTGCC